GTGCCTGCCTGCGGGCAGCTCAGGGCATTCACCTCTCGGCTTCTGCCCCCTTCAGTCCTGCCTGGGTTCCACCTCCTGCTCACTTGCCTCCTGTCCCCCAACTCCCGTGGTCCCCATCCTGCCACTCGCTGCCCCGTGGAGCGAGTCGGGGGCCAGCCAGACCGCCTGTCGGTGGCGGAACCGAGGTCAGAGGGGAGAGGGGCCCCTTTCGCTCCTGCCACGGGATGACAGAGCCAACCCGAGTTCCTCCAGGGCCAGCGCCATGGCTGCGCTTCCTGGTGGGCCCGTGGACCGGGAGAAGGAGCCCACGAGGCGGGCAGGAGCCCCAAGGAAGCCAGCCCTGCTTGGGGGGGTCTGGCGGGACCAAGCCGGAGCCGGCAGGGCTGTAGACATGAGTTCCTGGCTGAGTGAGGTCAGAACAATAGCATTCCCCGGGAGGGAGAGGCCGGCCGCGGGCTCCAACACCCCGGACTCCAGCGTGGCAGGGCACGGAGGAGGAGGAGAAGGTGGGGCTGCCCACTCCCCTCGGGCCCTGGCCGGCTGCCTGCTTCTCCCTTCCCCGCCAGAGGCTGGGGGGGGGGGGGGTGGGGAGGGAGGAGGGAAATGTGCAGACCGGGCAGCCCAGTGACCCTGCCCTGCGTCCTGGGCCATGCTTCTGCGGCTTCTCGATCCTGTCCCTTCCTGTCCCTGCCCACTCTGGTCTCTCCCTTGGGGTCGGCAGGACCCACTGCTCACGGGGGAGGCTTTCTGCTAACACGGGCTGACGCCAGCCCCAGGGACTGTGAGCTCTGCCCCCGGGGTTAAAGGAGACCTTGCCGAGAAGCTGGAGGCTAGCTGCGGCCCAGGCTTTGCTGGCTGGAAGCTCGGCTTCGACCTGGGGCCCAGCGGTGGCCAGGAGTAGCTCCTGAGCACCAGGGCGTGTGGACTGCCAAAAGCTTAAAAAAAAAAAAAGTCTCTTTCCTAGCTCAGGTCCAGGCAGGAGGTCTTAGGGCGTGATGAGTGTCCACTGGTGCTTCCCTGGAAACGCAGCAGCTGCCCGGCCCTGGGACTTGGTCTCTGGAATCATCAGCAGTGTCAGGAGTTGGGCTCCCGGGAGGGGAACCACAGGGCCTGTAGCTTGGCTGAGGCAGGGACGTGAGCACCCCAGGGTGCCGGGGAGGTGATGGTAGGGGGCGTCTCCTCACGGCCTCTCTCCCAGGCACCTGTCTGCTTTGGTCACCAGCTCGGACCCTGTCACCACTTCCCAGAGGCACCTCTGGGGTGTCTTGGCCACAAGAACAGCGATGAGGAGGAATCTGGAGATGCGGTGGGCACTCTGGGGTGCTCATCGTGGGCATGAGTGGCCGTAGGTGGTGGTGTGGAGGGACAGGGGTAAAGTGGCCAGAGGCTGCAGTGTATTGGGTGCCACCAGGACGTCCCCGGCGGCACTGGCCGGCCAGTGCATGCCGAGGTCTGTACCTGGGCCCCTGGCGTGCAAACTCCCCTGGACCCCCTCCCTGGCAGCCCTGGAGGCACGTCACACCACTTGCCGCAGCCAGCGCCTGCAGGCGGCACGCTTCGTGTGGGGCTCCCTCCCGGGCACGGCCTCCTGGATTGTTCGCTGTGTTTCCACTTGGGCTGCACATCGCGAGCCAGTGTCCAAGCGGCTTTCCCTGGAAAGAGGCGCCTTGTCTCTGGAAAGAGTGATTTCAGCTGGGGGGTTGGTTGCCCTGGTGTCCCAGAGCGCCGGCCAGGTCCCCAGGGAAGGGTCTAGAACCGCTGGAACTACCTCCGGGGATCCGCCGGTCCCTGGGTGTACCGATGGGAGCCTTCAGGCCCAGAGAAGTCAAGTCAATTGCCAGAGGCCACACAGCCTGTTTGCAGGAAAGCTGCTTGTACGCACCCCCAACCTGGGCCCCAAAGGATGATTCGTCTCTGCTGTGCAGGCCGGTGGCCTCAAGGCAGTGGGGCAGGGGCCAGAGGGCTTGTCTGTAGCATTTGGCTCCTGTCTGTTCCAGATGCTCCTGGGCTCTGCACCCCCAGCCCACCCTCCCTCTGTTTCCCAACCCCTTCCAGCCCCAGGCCAAGGCCAGCCTCAGGGAGGGCTGGAGAGGAGGCAGTCTCTGGGGGCACGGGTGGAGCCAGGGGCTGGAGTCATTCCACAGGTCCAGGCAACTGGGAAATCAATCCTGCCTGTAAACGCCTTTTTTTTTCCTCTGGAAAGGCAGCGCCTTCCCGCCCTCTCTGCCTTGGAGCATGTGGGGTGGGGGGCCAAGGGCCTGGGCGTGGGGGTGCTGAACGGGCCAGAGCCTCGGTCCCTGGAGCTGAGGAACCTTATTCTGGGCATCCCCCCACCAAGCATCGGGCCCTGGGAGTTGATTCCTGAACAAGCTCCCGCAGGAAAGGGGCAGCCTGTGTGGGACAGCCCTGGCCCCACGGCCAGCGCCTCACAGTGGTGTTTCCCAAGGTGGGCAGCGCTGTCCCGCCGGAGACGCCGGGACCCCCCCCCCTCAGGGCCGTGGCAGCCTCAGGGGGGCAATGGAGGGTCCCCTCTTTGTTTTCTGAAAGAAGGTGCATTTCAGGGGAGCTAAGTGATGCTTTTTTTTTTTTTTTTTGCTTTTTGGGTCACACCTGGCGATGCACAGGGGTTACTCCTGGCTCATGCACTCAGGAATTACCCCTGGCGGTACTTGGGGGACCATATCGGATGCTGGGAATCGAACCTGGGTCCGCTGCATGCAAGGCAAACACCCTACCTGCTGTGCCATTGCTCCATCCCCAAGCGATGCTTTTTAATGACAAGGGGCACTTGGCCAAGGGGGTTTGCAGTGGGGTGCCCAGTACTGAGTGTCTCGTTCTCATCTGCACAGGTCAAGGTGTTTGGTTTCTGGGTGACCCAGAGCTGATTAAACCAGGTTATGGGGCTGTGGGACCCCAGCCTTTGGGAGACGGGGCCGGTGGGGGGGGCAGGGGCATAACAGATGGAGCACTGAGGACGTGCGGGCATGGGGTACTGGGGGCATGTGGGCATGAGGCCCCCAGGGCATGCGGGCACAGTGCTGGTGCATGTTTCACCCTCTTGCCGACCTGAAAGGTGAATAAATATGTCAGTCTTGGCTTTTACCACTGAGATGTGAGGTTCCGGAGGTTCGAAAGGCCTCTCTGGGTGAGACAGAACCAGGGTCAAGTCCAGCTAGTCAGACTCAGGGCCCCGCCCACCTGCACCCCAGCCCCCCTCTGTGGGTCCCTGGTGAGGACTCCAGTTTGCCTGGAGGGGGAGGGGGAGGGAGGGGCCAGCGCCTGAAATGGAGAGTGTGTCGGCCTGATTCCCCTGGTGCCTGTGTCCCCACAAGAGAAGGGACTGGTACCAGCTGTGTGACTTCGGGCAAGTCGCTTAGCCTCTCGGGTTCACTTTTCATCTCTCAGCCCCGTCGGCCCACCATGGTCTCCTGTGGTCGGAGGCTCGCTGTGAGACCCAGAGCCGCCCCGTGTCAGGGCGGAGCACGTCCGTGGCCCACGGCAGCTGCTGCCTAAGCATTTGCTCTGGGACCACCAGCGCCCCGACCAGAGCTGGGTGGACAGGGCACGGACTTGACCTCAGGTTGTCCTCCTGTGCCCTCTGGGGTCAGCGCTGTGCCTTTGGGGTGAGGGTGGATGGTTGAGCAGAGAAAGCAGCAGCTGACCGTGCCTCTGTGCTGTGGGCACCGGGTCCCTCCCTTCCGGCCCCGTCCTGTCGCAGCCCACGTTCCCCTCCCCCGAAGCCCTGTGCCCGCGGAGGCACCTGGCTGACCACCTCACAGCACTGTCACTGCCCCCCACCTCCCGGGGGAGCCTCTGGTGCCTCCGTTCCCGCCTGTACCTGATGTCCCACAGGGTCCCGCCGTCATAGCTCCTAGCATTTACCTCGCCAGCACGCTCTCAGACCCTGTGCAGCATGGTCGTGGCAGTCTGCAGTCCTAAGGGGTCACCCACAGTGGTGCCCCGAGGACCTAGTGGTGCTGGAAACGAACCAAGGCCTCCCTACATGCAGTGCACGCACTTCATCTGTCCGTCTGTCCGTCCGTCCATCTGTCTCCCTGAGCCCTCGTCACGTGCACATTCAGGGGCTTGCATGTTCTCTCCTGCCTTTTCATTAGACAACTTGCTCTTTTTTTTTTTTTCTATAGGGGCTCCACCTGGTGGGGTCTGGTGCTGGTGTTGGCGGGCGGGGGGTGGGCATGCCTTGCCAGGGATCGGATTCAGTGTCCACTAGCTCCACCTCCCTGGCCCCAGCAGCAAGATAACTTTTTTTTTTCCTTTTTTGGAGGGACACTGTGCGGGGGGCGGGGGGGGGGGGAATAGGCCATGGGGTGGGGGTGGGGTTGCTCCTCTGCAGAGCCCACAGCGTGTACCCGCTCTCCCAGCAGGGGAAACTGAGGCCCAGAGCCACTCCGGGTCTCTGTGGCTGGAGTGGTGGCCTCCTCTCTTCTCCCAGGATGGGATTGAAAGGAAGATTCCTTCCATTCTTTCACTGCCTCGAGGGCCCGGGCTGTGGGCTGCGGTGCCCACATCAAGGCCCCCGAGGGTCTGGTGCACCAAGATTAGAGACCAGCCCGGAGCTCCCTAACTGATGTTTGCGGCCACACTGGCCGGGCCTGCGGGTCTCTGGGAGTGCCCGGAGGTGGCCGGGGAGGCAGGGCCTGGCCGCTCGGCATGCAGGGCAGCAGTGACCCCCTGGCCGCGTCCAGCCGGGGCTTGGGCAGGCCCCTCGGCGCCCTGGAGGATTCCTGTGTTTCTGTGGACACCTCATTATCCTCGTGGCAGCCAGCTGCGGCCCACTGCTCTGTAATCACTCGGGCCCACGCCCAGCCCGGGGCCAGCCCAGGGCCAGGAAATCGCTCCTTCCCCTCCCCCGCCTTCCGCACGCGACCCGACCCGGCGCGGCGCCTTCAGCAGTCACTGCCTGGCTCTCGCCCTGCCTAACCTTCTCTCTCTTCTGCTGCCTCTCTCCTGCCGCTGCTTGCTCACGGGGGACTCGGAAGTGTGGCTGTCCAGCTGGGCTGAGTCTCCCAAGAAGGACCTCACAGGTACTTGCCTCACCCCTTCTGCATGCGTATGACACGTGTCCCGGGCACCCAGGCGAGAGCGCGGGAACGGAGCTGGGCGGTTTCCCACCCGCCTCCTGGGCTGTGGGGGGCCGCCTGCCTGCTCCCGGCCTGCCCGACCACTGCCTGTGTCCTCTGTCCTCTCGCTGGATGCCCCCTTTAGGTCTCAGGGCCAGCCGCAGAGCTCCTGGGAGCGGGGCGGTGGACAGACCCTCTAACCGTAGGCCACCCTACGCCATGTCAGAGCCGTTTGAATCCAGCTTGGCCCGGTCCTGGCTGGGCCACCTCGGACGGGTCCCCTTGCACCCCCAGGACAAAGCGTGCTTCCAGGACTCGGCTACCTGGAGCGTCCACCCCGCCGCTGTCCTAGGACCCTAGGCCACGCTTTATGTGATTCTCTGCAGCAGAGACTCTCGGGGTGGCCAGGCTCGGTGCTGGCCCTCTCTGGGACTTGGCTCCCCGTTTGGGCAATGCCGGGCAGGGGCGGTGGCTGGGGGCAGGGGGTCTCCGCTCCGGTCTCTGTTCCGGCATCATGGCCGTAACCCCCGCGGGGTCTCTGCTGTGGAGCAATGGGATGGGGGCAGGCAGAGATAAAGAGATAAGGGGCTTCAGAGGGCCCCTCCACTGCCCCGCCCAGCCACGTCCAGGCTCAGGCAGGTTGGGGGCTGGGGGAGGTGGGGGGCGGGGAGTAGCTGTGGGCAGCGCTGTGGGCAGCTGGGATGGGGCCAGAGGAGCAGGCCGCGGAGGGCCCCTCGCTGTGGACCTTTGTTGCCTGTGGGCAGGGCTTGCGCCTGAGCTAATCTTGGGCTCCTGTCCCTGTTTCCTCTCTCTGCGAGCCAGAGAGCCGGAGCCCACTTGGCCCACAACAATACATTTTATTCACCAGACGTACAGCCTGGCTGGCCTGGGCCCGGAGAGGCCGGGGGCCCGGAGCAGCCTGGAAGAGGGGGGCACGCGGGACCTTGGTGAGATGCCCTGGGCTCCTGGGGGGCGTGGGGGAGCCTGAGGGCGCCACAACGGGGCAGGGCTGCTTAGAGAAGCTGCAGGGTAGTAGCACTGTGGCTGGGGGGGGGGGGGAACCCGGCCGGATTTGGGGTCCCGGGTCAGCCACCAGATCCCCCTGGGCCTCGGTTCCCCCCCCCCCCCAAGGGCCAGAACACTGGGAAGGGGAGCGGGGGCTGGGGTGTGTGTGGATAGGCCTCCCGGCACCCCGACACCCCCCAGGGGTTCCCCAGCTCTCCGTCCGCCCCTCGCAGGGGGTGGGTCTGAGGCGTGTGGCTGGGGGACCCCCCCACCACACCCGGTCCCCCTCACTCTGGGAGCCGGTGACGCAGCTGTCGCTGCTCGGAGCCGTGGGAACCCGAGCCTGTCCCGTTTCCGGCTCGCTGTCTCAGCACCGGCCCCGTTTCCACAGGGCACCCGGCCTGCCACCTCCTGCCCAGGAAGGGCCACACGCAGTCGGTTCCGGCCTCGCCCCGGCTCGGGAGTGGCTCAGAGGAGGCCGGCATGGTCCCAAGGGGCCGCAGAGCTGCCCAGGCCGCACTGGGCCTGGTGGTTCAGGGCCTTGACCTCTGGCACCGGTCTCGGGCCTGGGCTCAGCCAGGGAGTCTTCACGGGGAGGGTGGGGGGGGGGGAGGCCTCCCTCGAGGTGCCTGGGGTGGGGGTGGGGGCCTGGAGCACAGGCCCTGCACGTGCCATGCATCCTCCCGCGCCCGGCGTGGTCACCCTGCAGAGACTGCGCTGCTGAGCACTGTGGCCGGAGCCCCGGAGGATGGGTCGAGCTGGGGCGGGCAGCTGGAGGGGGAGCCACATGCCTTGGGTGGAGGGGGGAGGCTGCAAGCAGCGGTACGGCATCGCGCGTGCTCCCCGGAGTAGGGGTGGCGTGTCCGAGAACGGCGGGAGCTCCGCGTGGAAGACGGGGCCTTGGAGTTGGCCTGTGCTGGACAGGCAGCTGGGACCGGGGTGCGGCAGGGGGGCGACCTGGCGGAAGCCGGGCTGTTTGAGTTGGCAGCAGCCAGGACGGAGCCAGGATGGGTTCCAGCTGGGCCTGGGGGTGGGGGTGGGGGCGCTGCAGGTGTGAGGCAGGGGTGGGCGGGGTTGGGGACCCCAGCGAGACCCCAGCACCCAGGCCTGGCCAAGAGGCCCAGGAAGCCCCCTTCCCTCTTGGGAGGACCACCCCGTTGCCTCCAGGGCTCTGCCAAACCCTTCCCATCCGAAGGGGGGGGGGGTGCGTCCCCTTTTCCCTCCCTCCTCCCTCCTCCCTCCCCCGGGCAGCTCCTCCGGCCCTCAACTTTCCAGGCCTGGGCTGGGCGGGAGCCAGGGCGTCAGCCCCACCTTGGAGCCATTTGTCATCTGGATACCTGCTCTGGCCTGGGGCAGCCCACACCCTCTCCCACAGAGCCCGCCTGCCAGCTGCAAGCCCGCTGTGCCCACGGGGCCTGGTCTGTGTGTCTGTCTGCCTCCCACAGCCCCCCTGCTCTGAGCAGTGCCCGTCCTGGGCTCTGGGAGGGCTGGGGCGTCTCCTCCTTTACCTGTGTCCCCCATGGGCTTACCGGGCCCATAGGTCCCCCTAGCATCCTGCTTGTCCTTGCTCGGTCTTGGGGGCGTGGATTTGTGGCTCCGCCCACATCTCTTCCCCTTCGTCCTGGTCCCTTCTAGACTCTAGTTATCAGTTTATCCAGATGTCAGAGGCGAGGCCCTGCGGCTCTGTCCCCATGGGCCTCACAACCCTCAGCCTCTCGCCTGACTGCTTTCGACCCATCCTCGTGTCTCATTCCTTTGGCGTGCGCTGGCTGAGTGCCCATGGGGGGGGGGCACTGTGGTCTGCAGAGGCTTCACCTGACCTTAGCTGGGATGGGCCTAGGGGGCGGAGTTGGGGTACACATTCTGTGGGACCCAGCGGCCAGGGCAGTGGGTCTCCTTTCCCCGGGGCTTCCCTGCAGACCCAGAGACCCACTGAGGCTGCCTCTTCGTAGGACTCCAGGCCAAGGATCCGTCTGAGAAGACCCTCCCCCCCGCCCAGAACAGTGAGATCTGTTCAGAAGTGGGTCCAGTGTAGCAGCCTTTTTTAAACCACTGTGTACACACACACACACACACACACATGCACACACACACATGCACACGGTCATACAAACACGTACACACAGGCTTTCACATTGCGCACACTCATACATGCACATGCATACATAGGCATACACACACATACACACACGCACATGCACACACACAGGCATACACACAGGCTGACATAGATGCACATACACACACACACATGAGCACACACAGACACATGTACGAGCACGCACACACATACTCACATGCACATACACACACATGCACACAGTCATACGAACACGTTGCACACACAGGCTGATGCACATGCACACACACACATGCACAAGCACGCACACACACACGCACATGCACACATAGCACACGCATGCAGGAGCAGTTTGGGGCCCCGGCGAGGACGGCAGTGCTGGAGGAAGGGGCTGCGTGGAGCCCTCGAGGGGCTGGGTTGACTCTGACCCTCCGAGCAGGGCTCCCCGCGCAGCCGCTGAGCTGGGCGGGCTCTGCTCTCTGCGGGCCTCTGAGCGCCCCCGAATGGGAAAGCAGGAAAGGAGTCTTGAGGGCAGGGCAGGGCCTGGGGTGGCCGGGCAGGGCTCACGCTCCCATGGAGGGCTGAAGCTGCTGGCTGAAACCCAAGGAAAATGGTGGAGCCTGGGGACCCCCGAGGCATTTCCACAGCCAGGCAGGGTGTGAGGCCCTGGCCTTCTGGGAGGGGGGAGGCGTTGAGGGACAGACACAGACTTAAGTATTCTAGGAATTCCCTTCAGGCTGGGGGCTAGTCCTGGAAGGCTTCCTAGAGGAGGTGACTGGCTCCTTTTCGCTCCTGTGCTGTTCAGTGCTTCCCGGGCCCACCCCACTGAGGGTCCGTTGAGCACAGAGAGCCTTCCGGAGCGTGGGCCGATGCTGCCCAGCTGGGAGGCAGAGCAGGTACCCAGTCTGTCCACCTGGTGGGCGGCCCCGGCCTGGCCTGCTCCGCCCGCGAGCCCTGCCCAGAAAGCTGAGCAGGACCCTGGGCGCACCCCACTGCCTTCCCGCGAGGTGTGAGCCCCCAGCCCACAGCTCCATCAGCTGGAGAAAGAGGGAAACTGAGTCTGGGCGGCAGAGGGTGGGGGGGCGGTGTGTAAGAGAGAGACCGAGTCAGCCAGACCCCCGCCCCTAAGGCAGCTCCTGGGGAGCCCCCAGGGGCAGGAGCACAGCCGAGCAGTGGGGGGTGGGGCGGTGGGCCGGGCGGGCCTGGCGAGGGGACTTTCTTCTAGGGTTTCAAGTAAACAGTCTGGCCGCCTCCTCCCTGCCTCCACCCCCTGCTCCTCATTCGACGGGTCTCATGTGTTTCTATTTAAGGGTTGCAAGTGAACCCCAGCGATTGGCCGCCTCCAGCCCTCTTGACTTCTCGCCTGGGCCTGCTGCGGAGCTCCCTGCCCGCTCGCTCGCGCCCTCCTTCTCCCGAGGGGAGGCCGCGGCCAGCCTCCCCTTCCCGGGGCTTCAGGGGTCCTCCGAGAGGCAGCACCCCCCACCCCCGAGCCCCCACTCCCCGCCCGCCTCTTCCTCTCTGCTCCGCTCACTCCGGCCTCAGCCCTCATGGGCCGCCCACCCGCCCGCCGGCGGCCCGCCCCTGCTGGTCCGGGGGCCCGAGCACCCGCGTCCACCCCCGGCCGTTCCTCGGACCCCCTGACGCCTGGCAGCGCGCCTCTCTGAGCCGGCCCGGCAGAGGCCACCTTCTGCTCCGCGTCGTTGTGTGCTAGGCCGGCCTCTGTCTCCCCGTCTCCGTCTCCGCCTCCGTCCACCCCAGCTGCCTCTCTCCTCCGTCCCGCCCCGGCTCCCCATGTCCCCCGGTCCCCGCCGTCCAGCGGGCCGGTGTGGGGCCCTGCTATATGGCCTGGCCTTGGGGCCCAGCGCACGGCAGGCCCCGGCCCCGGGCCGCCCCTCGCAGGAGCAGCACTGGCCACGGAACCGCCTTCCCCGAGGCCCATGGACAGGGGGCGCCCCGGCCGCGGGGCCACGGCCGGCCACTGGCTCACCGCGTGCTTTCTGCCCTCGCCAGGTGCCGACGCCAACGCCGAGCCCATGATCCTGGAGCAGTACGTGGTGGTGTCCAACTACCGGAAGCAGGAGAACTCGGAGCTGAGCCTCCAGGCCGGGGAGGTGGTGGAGGTCATCGAGAAGAACGAGAGCGGTGAGTGCTGGCCGCCCGGGGACGCGGGCTCCCGGCTCCCCGGACGCCGGAGGGGGATTCGGAGGGGATTTTTTGCGTTGTTGTGGGCCCCCTCCTCCAACCCCCACTCCGCGCTGTACGTTATTTCCATCTGGCGGGGAGAGGGCCGAGGAGATGGGAGCTTCCCCTGTTGGTTTGGGCCACCGGCCAGCAGCTTGCCGGGGGTGGAAGAATGTGTCCGTGGCTGGGTAATTAACGGGCATGCAGGGAGGCGGCCACGGTGACAGCATCTGCCTGCGGCCACCCTGTCCCCTCCCCCCGCGGGAGAACCTGGCCACGGTGTGTCCCTGGGGTGCCGAGTCCTCGGGCCCCAGCCAGCGTCTGGCCGCCGAGCCCATGCCCCCCACTGCGCCGAGCCGCCCCGGCCCGCATGCCGAGGCTTTGTCTCGTCTGGGCCTGGGCTGTCCAGGGCGCCGCTGCGTGCCATGGTGCCCGAGGGGGCCGGGGGGTCTGCAGGTGGTGGGCCGGGCTCAGCACGCAGCATGGAACCCCCGTAGGGACGGGGGCCCAGAGGGGGCCTGGGACACGTCTGTGGGTCAGAACCAGTTCCTGGGGTGTTCTTGTTTCAGTTTCGCTTTGCTGAGGGGGGCTGGGCTCTGTGCTATCCTGGGGGGGGTGTTGGGGGGGTGAGGGGGGAGTGATGAGGGACACAGGCCCGGACAGGGGTGTGAGGGCAGTCTACTTCCTTTCCCTGCCCCCGTCAGTTCCCTTCCAGTCTTTGGACTCTGGGAAGGAGCGTTTGTGCCCCTCTCTCTAGGGTCACACAGGCAGGCTGGGTGAGGGAGAACCTGAGGTCCAAATCCAAACAGAGCAGGGACTTCCCCAGACCCCTGATTCCTTTGCCTGTGTGTGTGTGGGGGGAAGGATGCAGAGGCAATCCTAGCAGGCCTTCAGGGGGAGGTGAGCTCAGGCCCCTGCTGCCTCCTGCCCCCTGCCCCTGTTAACCGCCCCACCCAAGAGGCCTGACTCACGGCCCTCCGGGTCTGTGGTCTTCCCAGCCGGAACCTTGTCTCCAGCTTCAGGCCTGGACTGGGCTTCCCATGCGACCTTGCCTTCGGCCCTGTCGCACCCCAAAGCCAGCCTTGTCATCTTTGGGACAAGCCCCCTGCAGCGTCCCCAGGGTGGGAGGAAGTGCAGGCGCCAAGGCCGCACCGAGACAGAGCACTGGCCCAGGGGTCCCAGTTTCCCCCTCCCCCAGCAGGATGAGTGAAGAGGAGGCCCCCCCACGCCCCTGTTCCTGGGGCACATCCTGACCGTCCCCGCCTACCCCAGGACCCTGGAATGGGAGGTGGGGGGTGAAGAAGCCTGACCACGTGGGGTCCATGTCCCCGGCCTGGCCCGGTCCCTGGGAGCCCCACTCCCCCCACAGTCCCTCAGGAACGCGGACTCCTGCCCCCTGCTCGCTAGGCCCCTCGCACCCCCAGCCCCGCTGGGCCTTGGGCTCCTTCCAGGAAATGGACACAACCCTGTGGCTGCGTAGAAGCAGGGGCCGAGGCCGTGGTCACAGACTCTCCCGGGCCTCTGCTCTGGGGCCTCTCCCCGCTCGGGCCGGGTGCTGTGTGAGCCTGCACTGCTTCTCACACCGGACTGAAGTGGGGCGAGGGGGCCACAGCCCCGCTTTGGTTGTTTATCTTGGGGGCGCCCCCTGCGGTGCTCAGGGATCACTCCTGGTGGGGCTCAGGGGACCTTGTGGGGTTCTGGGGATCAGACCCAGGCTGCCGCGTGTGAGGGAACCTCCTTATCCATGTCCTGTCTCTGTGGCCCCACAGTCTGTCTTGGAAAGATGGCTTCCCAGCTGAAGGAGGCTGTCGGAGACTGTGTGTGTGTGTGTGTGTGTGTGTGTGTGTGTGAGAGAGAGAGAGAGAGAGAGAGAGAGAGAGAGAAAATGAGAGTGTCTTTGTGTATGTGTATGTCTATGTGTGTGCATGTATGTCTGTAACAGAAAGTGTATGTGTGACAGGAAGCGTGTGTATGTATGAGAGAGAGGGAGTGTGTGTGTATGTGTGTATGTGTGTGTCTGTGTGTGACAAGAGTGTGTATGTATGTGACAGGGAGCGTGTGTGTGTGTGAGAGAGAGAGACAGACAGACAGACAGGGAGTATGTATGTCTATGTATGACAGGGAGAGTGTGTGTATTTGTGTATCTTTGCGTACGTGTATCTGTGTGTCTGTGTGTGTCTGTGTGTGACAGGAAGTGTGTGTCTGGATCTGTGTGTGTGTATCTGTCTGTGTATATCTCTGCATGACAGGGAGTGTGTGTTTGTGTGTCTGTGTGTTTGCGTCTGCTGTCACAGTGTGTGTATGTGTGTGTATATATCTACATCTGTGTGTGTGTGTGTGTCTGCATCCTACAAATTACTTCTCTGAGGAAGCTCTTGAACAAAGACCCAGTTGTGCGGCTCGCCCCAGGCCATGTGCCATGCTCTGTCAAGGCATTTCCCCGGCATTGTTGGGGCTCAGCCCAGTCAGCATCACCCCTGCCCTCTACGTCCTCTCCCTGCTCACTGAGGTGGCCGCTTTGCCTGTGTCCCCTCCTGCCCACCGGAAGTCCCTCTGGCATTGTTCTGACCCTTCTCGCCAGGGTCCTTTGTGGGGTCCCAGCACCCAAAGATTGGGGGTGCAGCCGGGCCCGCTCTGCCATCTCCCTGGTCCCTGAAGACAGCAGGCTGTCTAGCCACACATCCCAGTGCAGGCCACACCTTGCCTACAGGGCCCAGAAGTCACTGCACTGGGGACACAGGCCCTTCACTGCTGTCTGCTGATGGACCCCCAGCCCAGGAGACCGCGTCTTTCCCTGGAGCCCACCGTGACCCCCGCCTGCTCAGAAGACGGTGGCTCAGGCTGGGGAGACACTTGAGGTGACCACAGGGCTCTTGCACATGTCGTTGCAGAAGGATGTTTTGTCTGCACCCCAGTTGGCTCCCGGGGAAGCACTTGCTGAAGCCGTGGGTCTGGGGCCCAGCCCACAAAGGACCTTCCTCCACCAACCCACAGGGACAAAGGGAACAGAAGGATGGGGAGATGCTGAGCTCTGCCCCACAGCCGGGCGACTGTGGCCCCCCAGGCCCATCTGCCATTTCCCTGACGGCTGTGAGCCCTGGGAATCCCACAGGACTGGCCAGTGTGCTGAGGCCACTTCCCAGGGCCGAATGGGCTTCTTACCTGCTGCTTCCTCGTTAGGAACGGCCAGCAGCCAGGCCTCCTAGGAAAGATGAGCTGGTGAAGAGAGGGAACACCCTAGGGTACCTCCAGTTCCCTGTGGCATTGCCTTTGATATTTCTTTATTCCTTTTGTGCAAAAAAAAGGGGGGGGGGAGTGCAACTATTATGTAAAGTTTTAAAACAATCGTGCTGCTATTCCTTTAAAAATCAGTTATTCCTGGTGCCAGAGAGATAGTGCAGTGGGTCGGGCACTTTTCTTGCCTGCCAGGGATCCAGGTTGAATCCCCGGAACCCTGTAGGGGCCCTCAAGCCTGCCAAAAGTGGTGAGCCCTGAGTACAGCCAGGGGTAGCGCCAGCCCCCCCTCCACCCCAAATAATTCATTCCTGAACTGTCTTGGATGTAACTTCAGGATTCACAGAATATTCAGCAGTAGGCATGTAGAATGCAGTGACCTGGGCTGGGCTGGACCTAGAAAGGCCGGTTCATTGCGGTCTGCCTTGAAGATAAGCCAAGTCACGGCAGCCTTCCCAGGGTTGGGTTCTGGCGAGCTGGCCTCCATTTGGAGGGGCCTGTCACTACCCCCCCACCCCCCGCCCGGGGTAATGTCCTGGCCGTCAGCAGGTTGCGGTCTCTCCCCAGTCCCGGCTGTGTGTGTGTCTCTGCCTCCTGAGCAATTCTCAAGTCCGCTTTGGCCCCATCCTGTGTGACCCGCTGCTCGGAGCTCTGTCTGGGGGCCACCATGGGCCTCCCCGCCGGTCTCAGCTGAGGCCTCCGCGGCCTCAGGCCACAGGTGTTTCTCAGGAGGAGACGCAGGTGGTATGGGCCCGGATCTCATCTTGGCTTGGTGCTTGCTAGCGGTGGCCCCAAGGGGTCAGCTTGGACCCGGAAAACTTATGGGCTCCCTCCACTGTGGGACGAGCAGTGGTACCCTCCGCCCTCTCCCCGTCGGGTTGTCCCAGATCCAGAAACAGTTCTGTGTGCAGTACCCAGCACGTGACAATCACTGGGGAGATGGCCCGTCCCTGGCAGCTCTGCGGGCGGTAGCTGGCCTGTGAGTCCCCCCTGGGGCCTTCGTTTTCTTGCCTGGCCAGCAAATTTGGCGTCCGAGGCTCCCTTCTGCCCTGCTGCCCTGTGAGGTGGTGGGGATCCCGGGCAGCTGCGGTTTCTGCCCCTCTGATGGCAGGAGGGAAGGTTGGAGACAGGAGCAGGTTCCCGTTAGTGACCCCAGGACACCAAGCCCATGCCCAGTGCTCTCCTTCAGTGCAGCTATCACTTGGTGACTCTGTTGCTTGGCACAGAGGGGTGTGTGTGTGTGTGTGTGTGTGTGTGTGTGTGTGTGTGTGTGTGCAGGTGTACTGAATAGCAGGGACAGGCGGTCAGGAAGGAGGACCCAGAGGTGGCGAGCTGGGCCTTGGTGGGAGGCCGGACAGATTCAGGAGTGCAGCTGGGGGTAGGGTGGCGATCAGCAGGTGAGTGTCTGAGGGCGCCGGCAGAGGCCAGCAGTCCCACTCCTGGCCATGGGGAGGGACAGTGGCAGGCAGAGTGGACTTTGCTGAGACAACTCTGAAAATAGCTTTCCTCGAGCTCCGGCATCTGCGGGCTCGTCAGCACAGCGCTGCTCACTGCCAGGCCCGGCTAGGAGCCGCCGGCCAGAGAGGTGCGGCAGTGGGAACCCGGCCCGGCCTCACCTCCGCCTCCTCGGCTGGACGGGCAGAGGGGCCAAGTGCCCGCTGGGGGCCTAATTCCTGGAAGACCCATTTCCCAGCAGAAGTACGGTTTGGTGGTGACCTCGGAAAATC